AAATGGCAGAGAAGACTACCTTCTTCTTCTCAAGCCTACTACTCCCTAGAGTCTACTGCCATTAAGTTTATTTTTAATTACTGTTTTTACTTAAAAAAATACTTCCCTATTCTCAGATTTATTAGTATTTAAACATTGTTTGACTTTGACCTCTGAAAAATAGTAAGATTAGTGTGTGTATACTTTAAGCCCTCAACTATCTTCTCCCTCCAGGATTTTTTATTAGCCGTGTCTCTTAACTCTCTCTTATCATAGGTGAGGAATTTAGGGCATTTGTACTTTTAGCTTTCCTTTTGTCTTCTTGCTTCTTTTTTTAGTTTGTCATCTTATTATTTTTACTCTGTGTGTCTTCTTTGCTTTTTATATAGAGTAATTCTGCAAGTTGAAAACCAAAAATTGATTCATTTGTTCATTCAGTTTATAAATATTGATTCTTTAATGTTGGAGTACTCGAGGGCCCTGAACTTGGGCCTCTTTTCTGACTGTACAGATTCCTAAGGAGATCTCATCCAATTTTATGGATTTAAATTCCGTCTGTATACTGACTCCCAGTTTACATTTCTAGCCTGATATCTCCCTCTCAGCCTCACATCAGCATGTTCAACTGCCTCCTTGATATCTCTATTCACATGTCTTACTGGCATCTCAAAGTGAACTAGTCTAAAAAGAGCTCCTGATATCTATCCCTTTCCTCCCAAGGCTTCCTACAATGTACTGCATATCTGTTAATAGCAGCTTCATTTTTTAGTTGCTTAGGGCAAAAACTCTTAAGTTCCTGTCTCTCTTTTTGAAACACTTATACCTTATATCTGGTTCACCAGTAAGTCCTTTTGATTTTATACTCAAAGCAAATAAAGAATTTGACACTATTCACCATGTCTTCAACAACTATTTTGGTGCAAGCCATCGTGGATTATAGCAATAGCTTCTACTTTGTAATCTAGTCTAAACTAGCAGCCAGAGTGATCCTGCATAAGTCAAATCCTATCATTCTTAGCTTTCCTTTCAGAAGTAGCTTCCCATCTCATTCAGAGTCAAAGTCAAAGTGCTGCCATCCTTTGAGGCTCTTTATGATTTGGAACTTAGTTATCTTTCTGTTCTCTTTGCTCACCACTCTTACTCTACTTGCCATAGTAGTCTCTTTGCTATTCAAACATGCCACATGCTCCTGCGTGGATCTTTGTGCTTGCTTTCTCCTTTTCTGCTTGGAAGGGCCTTCTATGCATTTGGATGGCTCATCCCATCATGTTACTAAGATCTTGACTCATTGTCATCTCAATGAAGCCTAAAGGCCTTTCCAGGTAGTCCTATCTAAAATTGTTTCCTAGTCCTGTGACATGTCAAATAACTCCTCCCTTCCTATTTTTTCTTCTTAGCACTGATCGCTATTTAATATACAACATATTGTAATTGTTTAATTTTAAAAAATTAATCAGGTCAGGTTCATTGAGGAAAACAAATTACTACAGGTATGTCAAGCAAAAAAAATTAATAAAGGGAATTAGATGTTGATAAATATATTGGAAAAGCTGGAGGTGTGGATATGGAAGGTTGTTTCCAGCTTTCAGGTTAGTCACTGTTGCTGATGATTTATAGCTGCCTGGTGGTACCAACATGGGTACCTGGCAGGGGAGCATTTGATGATTGCTGCAAAACTTCATGTCTGTCAAAGCCCACATGTCTGTTCACTGCCGTCAGAAGAATAATGTTCTGGTTTCTCTTTCTCTTCTACCTTCCAAGTATTGTGCAAATGCATTACGCTGACTGAATGACAAGTATGAAATTTGCAAGGCAGGCTGACAGGCTGGAAACCCAAGGAAGAGTTGATGGTGCAATCTTGAGGACAAAGGCAGTATGAAGGCAGAATTTCTTCTTATTTACAGGGACCTCAGTCTTTTTTTTTTTCTTCACACTTTCAACTGATTAGATCAGACCCACCCACATTATGGAGGGTAACCTGCTTTACTCAAAGTCTACTGATTTAAATGTTAATAATTTACATCTACAATTACCTTTACAGCAACATCTATGCCAGTGTTTGATCAAACAACTGAGTACCATAGCTTATTAGCTAAGTTGACGTATAAAATTAACCATCATAGTCTATGCCTTATCAGCTTGGCACCCATACATATCCCCTTAAACCATAATTGTTATGAGCTGAATTATTCCCAACCCCCACAAATTCATGTTAAAGTTCCAACCCCCAGCACCCCAGAATGTGACTGTATTTGGAGATAGGGTCTTTCAAGAGGTAGTTAAGTTAAAATGAGGTTATTAGGGTGGGCCTTAATTCACTGTGACTGGCGTCCTTATAAGAAGAGGAAATTTGCTCACAGACATGTACAGAGGGAGCACCATGTGAAGACACTGGGATAAAATTGCTGTCTACAAGCCAAGGAGAGAGGCCTGAGAAGAAACCAGACCTGCTTGAATCTTGGATTTTTAGCCTCCAGACTTGTGAGGAAATAAAATTCTGTTGTTTAAGTACCACAAAGTACCACGGAGTTTGTGGTACTTTGTTATGGCAGCCCTAGCAAATACAATAATACAGTAATACAATAGTTGATCTCCAAATAAAGACAGTAACAAGGTCATCTTGTATGCAATGCACTCTTTCCCCAGAAGAGGATGGAGAGTCCTTGGGTGATGTTCACTTTTCTTGTTATCCTATAACTTAAATACTATGATGTAGAGTTAAAAATACTTAAATACTATCATATAAAGTCAGTACACCTTACGTTATGTGTTATTCCCTTATGAAATAAAAAAGGGAAGAAAACAAAGAAGTTTATACACAAACATGTTCATTAAAAAAATACAGAAATTAAACTTGAAAGTGAAAATTACTTCTTGATCCAGAGGCTACACAATGGATGTTATGCTAGCAACAGGAAAACAACATTAATCCCCTGTTCATCTCCATCAAAGCTCTTGGATGACCAGGTGCATTGTCAATGAGCAGTAATATTTTGAAAGGAATCTTTTTTCTGAGTGATAGGTCTCAAGAGGGAGTTTAAAATACTCAGTAAACCATGCTATAAACAGATGTGCTGTCACCTGGGCTTTGTTATTCTATTATGGAGCACAGGCAGAGTAGAGTTAACATAATTCTTAAGGGCCCTATGATTTTTGGAATGGTAAATGAGTATTGGCTTCAACTTAAAGTTAGAAGCTGAATTAGACCCTAATAAGAGTCAGTCTGTCCTTTGAAGCCAGGCATTGAGTTCTCCTCTCTAGCTGTGAAAGTCCTACATGACATCTTTTTCCAATACAAGGCTGTTTTGTCTACCTGGAAAATCTGTTGTTTAGTGTAGCCACCTTCCTCAATGATCTCAGCTAGATCTTCTGAATAACTCGCTGCAGCTTCTCCATCAGCATTTGCTATTTCACTTAGTACTTTTATGTTTATGGAGATGGCTTCTTTCTTTAAACCTCATGTCTGTTAGTTTCAAACTTTTCTTCTGAAGCTTCCTCACTTCTCTCAGCCTTCATAGCATTGAAGAATGTTAGGGCCTTGCTGTGGATAAGGATTTGTTTTAAGGGAATTTTGTGGCAGGGTTAATTTTCTATCTAGACCATTAAAACTTTCTCCATATCAGCAATAAGGCTGTTTTGCTTTCTTATCATTCATGTGTTCACTGGAGTAGCACTTTGAATTTGTTTTAAGCACTTTTCCTTTGCATTCACAATTTGGCTGTTTGGTGAAAGAAGCCTAGCTTTCAGCCTATCTTAGCTTTCGATGAGCCTTCCTCACTAAGCTTAATCATTTCTGGCTTTTGATTTAAAAGTGAGAGGCATGCACCTGTTCCTTTCTCTTGAACACTTAGAGGCTCTTGTAGGGTTATTAATTGGCCTAATTTCAATTTTGTTGTGTCTCAGGGAATAGGGAGGAGAGATTGCTGCTCAGTGGAGCAGTCAGAACATACACAACATTTGTTATGTTTGCCATCTTATATGGGTGAGATTTGTGGCTCCCTAAAACAATTATAATAGTGACATCAAAGATTGCTGATCATAGATCACCATAATAGATATAATAATAATAGACAAGTTTGAAATATTGTGAGAATTATCAAATGTGACAGAGACATGCAGTAAGCACATGCTGCTAAAAAATGGCACTGATAGACTTGCTCGATACAGCATTGCCACAAACCTTTAATTTGTTAAAAAAAAAAAAAAAACCCAAAATGCAATATCTGCAAAGTGCTGTAAAGCAAAGTGCAATAACATGAGGTATGCCTGCATAAGAGCAATACATATTCATCGTAAAGATGGAAAAATATAGAAGCATAAAGAGTTATTTTATATATAACATTCTATCATTTGCTTTTTCCACATGGTCTTCTTTCCAGTTTAGTATATACGGATCTACCTCATTTAAAATAAAGTACTTCAAGTATTCTGTTGTATGTCTATAATATAATTGAAGGAAGCACCTAATGATTGACATTAATGTTGTTTCTGGTTTTCTTCATCATACCTATTACTTTGTTGCGTGTGTTTATTTATATATCTTTGTGCATTGATATGACTATATCTGTGGAAAAATTTCTAGCTTTGAAATTGCTGGACGAAAGCATAAGTATTTTAAATTGTCCTCCAAAAAAGTTGATTTATATTTTAATCATAAAAGTATATGAGAATATGTTTTCCTATATTCTCTCCCATATTGAATTTTACCATACTTTTTAGGTTTTACCAATGTAATAATGAAAAATGAATTTTATTTTATAAATTGTAAATAGATTTAAGCATCCTTTCAAATTTTGGACAATCTCATGTGTTTAACCTCATTGCTACTTCGCTTCACTTGGAATATTTTTTCTTCTTTAATTTTTCTCTGAACCTTTACCACTTGTCAAGCCCACATCAAAATCTGTTTTTTCTATTATTGGATTTCCCAGTAACCTCAGCCTAAAATTATTTCTCCCTGCTTTATTTTCTATTTATTGCAATTTTATACCAGTCCTAATGCTTATGATTTATTCTTCTAGGATTTGCAGATTTACAGAATGGCCAAACGTTAATGGAAAGAGAAGCATAAACTAAACCTATCTTCTTTCATTATGGAGACAGGCTTGGCAGATGGAGAGCCTGACCGAACTTCGGTGAGTAGTTCAAATATAGCATAGTAATTCCGCTCTATCTCCTTCTGTTCTCCCTACCCTCCCAGCCATATGGTGTAAAACACGTTGATATAATAGTTTGTGTTTGTTTTCCCCAAAAACCTTTCTCTTTAGTGAAATCAAGAGACTGTTAACAGTCGAGGAAATTAAATGCCTCCGTATCTCAAATCTTGTGGAACTATGAGCAGGTAGAGGGAATGAAACAGTTAAAATAATTAAGAAATAAGAACAATTATCATATATACTTTCCATTAAAATATAAAGGTTTAATAAACATTGCCGCCCTGTGATCATGATTGAATTGTATTCTGAAATTAAAATACATAAGTAGGGGTAGTGGGTAAAGTATACCTTACCCAATGAATTTTTAAAAAATCACCAGTAGGGTAGATTAAATGATTTGTCACTGTACAAAAAGATTTTGCTCCAGGATAATTTCATTTTCAGTTCTTGTATTTTGACTGATTACATTAAATACTGATTTATAGATTCTCTATTAGAAATGTTTCTGTAACCTAAAGTAAAGGTGCCCCTCATTAATATGTAGTCAGCTGGAAGCTTTATCATTTGTTAGGTGATAGATTATTTGACAAATTTGTATTGTTGGAATAAGGTGAAGGCCAACTAGAATCTGTCTTTTCATATTGCTGTGGAGTTGAGAGTCACTATTATATTGAGGTATTTGTAAATTTAGTGAATGTCCTTTGTTCAGGCTGCAACGTAGGAACAGTCTAATGATTGATAGCAAAGTACAGTTTTGCTGCCTTGTATCAACCTGGTCCCAACCTTTCTTGAATTTCTGGTTCAAACTTGTTTTGGGTTCTTAAATGATGAAAAAAAGTTAAACTTTAAAATGATAACTTGTTAGTAGAGAATAGAATGGGCATGGAAATAACTTGGCTTATGAACATTATTGTCATGTTTATTATAAATGGAAAACTGATGATAGGCTATCTTAATTTTACTGTAGTTTCAGAAAAAAGTTAAGATTAAACCTTGTCTATTAAGCATGATATTTACCACAAACCTTGTCTTTTTTTTTTTTTAAAGCCTAATGGACTTTCTTAGGATCTTTTAGCTGAAACATTTTTGATCTTCTAGTGATAATAAAAATGTCAGTAATAACTATGGTTACTGTTTTCTAAGTGTATACTTTGTCAGACTGTCCTCATAACAGCCATTAAAAATAGATATTTGGCCGGGTGCGGTGGCTCACGCCTGTAATCCTAGCACTTTGGGAGGCCGAGGCGGGCGGATTGTTTGAGCTCAGGAGTTCGAGACCAGCCTGAGCAAGAGCGAGACCCTGTCTCTACTAAAAATAGAAAGAAATTAATCGGACAACTAAAAATATATAGAAAAAATTAGCCGGGCATGGTGGCACATGCCTGTAGTCCCAGCTACTTGGGAGGCCGAGGCAGGAGGATCGCTTGAGCCCAGGAGTTTGAGGTTGCTGTGAGCTAGGATGACGCCACGGCACTCTAGCCCGGGCAACACAGTGAGACTCTGTCTCAAAAAAAAAAAAAATAGGTATTTGTTTATCCTTTTATAGATAGGGAAATAGGCTCAGGGAGATTAATTATCTTCTCTAAGACCTCACAGTTTAGGTTATGGAACTGAAGTCTGTCTCTGAATACTTTACAACACTAAGATGTTGACTGCATACCTATCTTTCTGAATAGAGTTGCGTGGAAGTTATTGCTACCTTTTAAAGTAGATATCTAAGTAAATGGTTTTAAGATTTATACCAGAATCCCTGGGTTGTAGTAATGAAGGATTTTTAATTTTTTTTTTATTTTTTAGGTTTATTCTAAATTTTGTTAATACTGAGAAGTTAGAGGAAAGGTATTTAAAAAGTAGTGAAAACAGTTATCTTGTTCATTAAGTTTCTTCTGTGAAATATTATAGCTCATTTTAGAGAGAATCTCAATACTTTGAGTGTGAATTACTGAAATATTCTGTATTTGAAGCTAACATTGAGGTCCGCTTTTGAGTTAACTATTTATAAAAAATATCACCTTTGAACTGCATGGCCTAAGCTAGTTACTATTTAGATTCAGGAAAGGTGGATAAGAACATGGACTCTGTAAGACATTTAGCTACATGTTAAAATCTGAGCTCTGTCACTGAGTTGTATGACCTGGGTAATTAAGTTCTCCAGGTTTCCAGTTTCCTTATCTATTATTAAATAGAGATAATTGTAGTAGCTACCTCCCAAAGTTGTTTTGAGTATTAATTGAGAATATATATCTATAAAGTGCCTATTATAATGCTACACACATTGTAAACATCCATTAAATAAAATCTATTTGTATTGTTGTTATAACTATTAATATTAAGCCTTCTCTCCAGAAAGATAAATAATTAGAAGTCAGGGGTGGCCTGTGAAGATTGGGTGGTTGCTGTACACTAAAGTAAGTGGAGGAGCTTTCTTAAGAGAACATAAACTTTGAATAGCACAGGTATGCAGGGCTCATGGAATTGAAAATGAGCAAGGAAAGCAGTCTAGGATGGGAAAATAGCAGGAGGCAAGTGGGGGATTAACTGCTTAAGGTTTATTCAGGTTATAATGAGTAGAAAAATTGAGTAAGGTAGGATAGAAGGAAATGATGTTTACGAGAATAAAGATTGATGTGGCAGATAGAGAACAAAGTTATGGAAGGCTTTGAGTGCCAGGCCAGGGATTTTGGACTTGATTCTGTAGGTAATGGTATGTCCATTAAATACCTTTAATGTAGATGGGTCTGGAAGTAGGATACAAGATGATTTGGAGGAGTGAGAGGTAAAGATATTAATTAAGATTTTATTAGAGTAGTCTCGGTGTGAGGTCGTGAAAACTTGGACTATATCTGACTTTATTGTCCATCCATTTTTCTTCTTGCACATCAGATTATTTTTTTAAAATTGTTTGCTCATTTGTTATTCTAGTTATGTATAGTTCTCTTTTTGTGGTATTGTTTGTCTTAGGTGGCAGGTACTGAAAAGCGTAGATTGAATTTGTGTTTTTATATGTGGTAGTTGTATGCAGCAGGACACAAGTGTACATTTAATATATCTTAAACGATTTTTTAAAAGTTTAGTACTTATATCACTTTAGAAAAAAACCACTAAGAAATGCTTAAAGTGTTAGAGTCACATTTTTACGAATAGATTGAGGTAGACGAAAGAAGTGAAATATCCTTTTAGATTAAAAAACATTGAATATGTTCCTCATTTTATATATATATTTTTTTCTTTTTTTTTTTTTTATTGAGTCTGTCTCTCTTGCCCCGGCTAGCATGTGGTGGCTTCATCATAGCTCACTGCAACTTCAGACTCCTGGGCTCAAGTGGTCCTCCTGCCTCAGCCTCTCGAGTAGCTGGGACTACAGATGCACGCCACCATGCCCCGGCTAATTTTTTTATTTTCTGTAGAGATGGGGTCTCACTCTTGCTCAGGCTGGTCCCTGAGCTCAAGCGATCCTCCCACCTTGGCCTCCCAGAGTGCTAGGATTACAGCAAGAGCCCACGCTTGGCCCTCTTTATATGTTTTGAAGTATTATTTCTGTTACCAGAGGAGAATTTATAACTGCTTTGTAAGGTTTGTTACTGGGCAAAATCTTTTATTGTATTAAAAATTGATTATATAAATGACTTTTCAGAAGAGAATAAAAGTTATAAAATGTATCAGTCTTTTTAAAGAGTTCAGAATTGAGGAAATCTTTTATTAAATAATTCAAATTGGGTACTTTAAATCAAAGGCTTTCTGAAGTGGAAGGAACTGCAAAGATTATTTAGTTCAGCAGTTCTTAGAATGTAGTCAGTGAGTGTCTTCCTGATGAGCCTAGAGATGATTCAACTTCTTGAAACTTTGATTTTTTATGTTTGCTAGATGAGTTATTCATGATCACTCATATTTGGTGATCATTTAGCAAAATTAGTGTGTTATTAGAGTTTACTAAAAGCTTTCATCATATTCTGTGAAGTCTGGCTATCTACAAAAATTGGCAACATTGTAGAGCTCATGTATATGTACATAGAAATTAATGGATTGCCCCAGTTTTTGCAACATCAAGTATTATTTTCAATGGGTCATAGTTTTTAAATGTTACTATTTGTTTTGTTATTAATACTATTAGTTTAGTTTCATCATTGTTGATTTAATATATTATGTATTAGTGATAGCATCTTTGTAACAATAGTATTTTTGTATACTGTTTCCCAATACCTTTAGTATACAATTTCCCGATGCCTTTCAGACATTTATGCATTCAAGTCCAATTATAAATTATCTATATGCCAATAATCCTCCCAAAGTATTCCTGTACAATGGCACTTCATTAAATTTCACCATTGGTCATCGTGCTGGTTTCCTATTGTTTCTCTATCCACCACAAATTTAGTGGCTTTAAAACAACATGAATTTATTAATTTAACAGTTCTGGAGGTCAGAAGTCTAAAAGCAAGGTGTTAGCAGGGTTATGTTCCTTCTGAAGGCTTTAAAGGGAGAATCCATTTCCTTGCCTTTATCAATGTCTAGAGGTTGCATTCATTCCTTGGCTCATGGGCCCTTCCTTGTATCATTTCAACCTTGGGCTTTCGTTGTCATATCTGCTACTACCCACTTTGACCCTCTTGTCTCCGTCTTATAAGAACCCTTGTAATTACATTGGGCCCACTTAGATAATCCACTCAGATAATCAAATAATGGCCTTTTATCAAGATCTTTAACTTAGGCACACCTTCAGAGTCCTTTTTACCATGTAAGGTAACATTCACAGCTTCCAGGGATTAGCATGTGGACATCTTTGGGTGGCCATTATTTTGGCTATCAGAGTCAGTGCTAACCCCTGGAGCAACCTAGCCTATTGGAAGTGGGTCAGTCCTGTTGCTGGATTACCCAAAGTCTGGTCTGGCAGGGCATCTCACCTGGAAGGTTGACAGCTAGACTGAAATCCTAAATTATGAAAATTCTTAGGTTGCAGATATCTCCTTATGTAAAGTAAT